TATTATAATTACCTTTATCACCGCCAATGAGGTTATGATTATGGACGTCATCAGTGTACTTGAATGAAAAAGTTGATATAAATGCAATTGTTCAAGTGTGAATATTTTTATTGCATCAGCTGCCGTATTGCCTTGGCAGAGGTATGCGGAGGCAGTGCTTCTAGTTTTTTATTGTTATTGTCTTGTGTTATTATTACTATTGATATTAATATTTTTGTTGTTATTATTATTGTCACTATTATTATTTTTATTGTTATTATTGTTGTTATTATTCTTTTCTTAATAATTTTCATTAGGATTTCTATTATTGTTTTATTATTATTGTTCTGTTTATTGTTAATGTTATTACAGTTATTATTATTATTACTATTATTATTATTATTGTAATTATTATCATTTATATCATTACCATTATTATTATTATCATTATTGTTGTTGTTGTTGTTATTGTTATTATCATTATTATATTATTATTATTATTATTATTGTTATGTTATTGTTATTGTTATTGTTATATTAATATTATTATTATTATTATTATTATTATTATTATTATTATTATATGTTATTATTATTATTATTATTTTATTATTATTATTATTATTATTATTATTTTATTATTATTATTATTATTATTATTATATTATTATTATTATTATTATTATTATTATTATTATTATTATTATTATTATTATTATTACAGCAACTATTGGTATTATTATTTTTTTATTATTATTATTATTATCATTATTATTATTATAATTCATATCATTGATAATTTATTTTTGTTATTGATGAATTATTATTATCATTGTTATTCTTCTTATGTTCTTTATTACTATCATCACTGCTGTTATCGTTTTTTGTTGAAGTCAGTATTGATATTATTATTATTATTATCATTGTTGCTATTATTATCATTATTACTATCATTATTATCATCATCATCATCATCATCTGTGGAAAGGTATGAATGATAATGAATATCTTCACAATACAGGATATGTATTTGACCGGTTTCGAATATATCTTCGTAAGAAAAACATGTACTATTGACGAAGATATAATCGAAACCGGTCAAATACATCTCTTGTATTGTGAAGATATTCGTTCTCATTCATAGCTTTCACATTTGTCAACATGAATACGGTTCATCATCATCACTATTATCATTGTTATTGTTGTTGTTGTTATTATTATTATTATTATTATTATTATTATTATTATTATTATTATTATTATTATTATTATTATTATCATTATTATCATTATTATCATTATTATCATATATTATTATTATTATTATTATTATTATTATTATTATTATTATTATTATTATTATTACTACTACTACTACTACTACTACTACTACTACTACTACTACTACTATACTACTTCTATACTACTACTACTACTACTACTACTACTACTACTACTACTACTACTACTACTACTACTACTACTACTACTACTACTACTACTATTTTTATCATTATTATTTTATTGTTAATGTTATTATCATTATTATTATTAATGTTGTTATTATCATTATTATTATTATTATCATTATTATTATTATCATATTCTTGTTATCATTGTTATTTTCCATTGATTAGTAATTATAATGAAAATGATGATAATAATATTTGGCTATCATTATCATCAAAGTTGTTATTATTTTCATCAATTCAGAAACAAACAAACAAACAAAACCATCTTTACTAATGACGCAGAATCTCGAATGCCTACGTTGTTTGTTTCTTTCTTTGTTTCAGTGTTTCTTTGCGCAGAAAATGGATTCTTCTTCCCGGCGGACGTACGAAAAACTGCGCTTCAGAGAAAAGGTCATTCAGTGCCCTTTGTGTGATACCGGCGCGGTGCACATATGCTCATATACACACACGCACACGCACACACACATGCACGCACACACACACATGCACGCGCACACACACATGCACACACATTTACACGCGCGCGCACACACACACACGCACACGCACAGGTATACAACATACGCAGACTTACACGCGCGCATACACGCACGTACACACGCGGATACACTCACGTACACACGCGGATACACTCACGTACATACGCGGATACACTCACGTACACACACGCACACACACATACACACACACACGCACAATTATGACACCAATACAATAAAGAAAATAGATCTATGCGTAGCAGCGACTTTTAGATGTACCTATTATGCATAAACAAAGAGAGAGAGAGAGAGTGAGGAGGAGGGAGAGACAGAGAGAGGGAGAGAGACGAGAACGAGAGAGAGAGGGGAGAGAGAGACAAGAACGAGAGAGGGGGGGGGGGAGGCAGGGAGGGATAGAGAGAGAAACGAGAGAGGAGAGAGAGAGAGACGAGAACGAGGGAGAGGGAGAGAGACGAGAACGAGAGGGAGAGAGAGAGAACGAGAGGAGAGAGACGAGAAACGAGAGGGAGAGAGAGAGAGAGAGAGGAGAGAGGAGAGAGGAGAGAGAGAGAGAGGAGAGAGAGAGAGAGAGAGAGAGAGAGAGAGAGAGAGAGAGAGAGAGAGAGAGAGAGAGAGAGAGAGAGAGAGACGCGAACGTCGCTCTTTGTCTCGAGCAAATTTTAGTTACATATATCCGAAATGTCATTTTGTTCAAAAAGGGATCAGTTCCATTACTTGGCCGGGGTAAGGCGAAATCGCAATGATATTTAATTCTGGATGAAAATCCAAGTACAACTAAAAAGTGATTAGGGTCTATTAATCTTATTTTTATAGTATCAGTTATTTTTAGAAGGCGTGATAAACATTTCCTTTCCTTGCAATAAATGAACAGCTTATTGATATAAATAGTTAAAAGAAGTTTTTCCGATATGCATAGTCTGATATAGTATTCGTAATTTGTTAAAGGTTACTAGGGAAGCAGAGGTTATATTTTTTTGAAAAATCGCGGGCTTAAGTGAACTCTAGAAATTTCAAATGAGAGCTATTTTTTCGGATTCTTATATTTACCTCTCGTGCAACAATGAAGGACAATTACTCACCGATTTATATTTTAACTAATATGTGATTAATACGATATATAGTTGTATTATTTATTTTCAATAAATAAACGTGAATCTTCATCCTCACTATAGACTTTAATAATGTGTCATGGCGGCGTTGTTGAAGGTATGTATTAATACGGAACTTCGAGTTATTTGTATGATTCCTCTACCTACACCACTCAGTCCGTCATATCCACCATAGGTTCTCAGGGACATCCAAAAAATCGAGAAAAGAGGCCAAAAACCCCGATAAACACGGAAGAAAGAGAGGAAAAGAGGGTGATAAGAGCGGGTCATCGTTTGTTTACATCCGAGGTTGGACTTTGTCACTGGTTCGGCGGCGTCCAAGAATTCACTTTTTTTTCTTTCTTTGTTTTACTTTGTTTCCCGAGTCGTAGATCTCGTCCTCGCCTCTGCGTAGTTCCTCTCCGGCCTCGCTCCGGATAGAGGGTTTAGCAGTGCCTTTCGTGGACGGAGGGCGAGTGACAGTGGCCTCCGAGGGCGACCCCAGGCTGGCGAGGGGGGCGCTTGGGGGCTCTGGGGTCGGGGAGGGATTTAAAGGAGGGTTTTGGGGTCTGGTGGATTTTTTTTGGATTTAGTCTCTCTGTGGTTTAAGGTTACGGACAGTTGACTGTGGATCAGATTCGCTTAGGATATTAGTATATTGGGATGCGTGATCAGAGGTTAAATTTTTGCTGTTGTTGTGTTTTCGTACAGGTTTGGTATTCTTGTCTTGGAGATTCTGAGCTATTGGAGAGAAGTTGCGGAATGTTAGAAATGAATGCCGAAACGAGTGCGCTCTTTGTTTAGAATATGGTTATAGGGATGCACACGTTTTGTATATTTTACATGTGCCGTGCTTTAGGGTTTATATAGTAATTTTGAGGAAATATTCTATCTTTATTTTTATTGAAATTGACTGTATTGTGATTTGCAAAGTGCTTTTATCAAATCTAGAATCCTATATGTTTAAGTGTGTGTGAGAATTCTTTTGTGAATTACCTCTTAAACCATGCACTTTCTTATATTTTTAGAGTTTTGAAGTATAGAAGAAAAGTATTATAACATATCTTTAGGAAGAAGTAGAGACCAATGTTCTTTTTATTAGCTGTGGCAATATGCGTATTACTGTATATCTTTTATGGATATATCTGGTGCCGTCATACTGTAGAATTAGTAATTATTATATACATTTCTTGACTTGATTGACCTTATGTGCCTAATAATCTGGTACTAATTTAGCAAAAAGAATTTGTTTAAGGAGATTACCGGAACAGTTTGATGTAATTTTCACTTGTGATGTATTCTTATTACATGATAAAGGTTTTGATGAAAGGAATTCAGACTGTATTGTAGTTTGAAATAACTTAAGGTCTGATTTGGTAGATATGTAGAGGGGTTAATCTTTACGGTATGGACGCTGTAAGTTAGGACAAATTGAATATGATATTCTTGTATATGACAAAAAGATGCAGTCATCAGTACATGTAATAATCTGTAAACACAAACAGTAATGCCACAAATAAAAGAAAAAAATATCATGGAAGGCACCCCCGCAGCCGAAGTCCACTTGGTGCTCCCGAGTTTTAGCTCTAACTTGCTGTGCTTGCCGAGGTGAAGACAATGTTTCCCAGTGGATGTTGGGAAGGCAGAGCCCCTCATCAACCCTCCCCTTGAGCAGTCAGGCACATCCAGCCACAGCAACATATATTTAAAAATAATTTTTTTGAAGTGGAGTTGGGGGCTTAGTCTATGGAGAGTGTGTCCATACTGTAAAGCATTACCGTGTAGAGATATTGAAAGTATCAGAAAGGGAAGGAGGCATTAATTAGCTGTGTGTTTTCTCTTGCCTCTTTCCCTTGGCATTAAACTATATGTGAATTCTGAAAAATCATGCACACGCCCATACATTATTTTATTTTTCGTATTATTCTTGTTTATCAAATCAGAGTAGTGTGATTCAG